CCCAGGCTGGAGTGCAATGGCGCGATCTCGGCTCACCGCAACCTCCGTCTCCTGGGTTCAGGCAATTCTCCTGCCTCAGCCTCCTGAGTAGCTGGGATTACAGGCACGCACCACCATGCCCAGCTATTTTTTTGTATTTTTAGTAGAGACGGGGTTTCACCGTGTTGACCAGGATGGTCTCGATCTCTTGACCTCGTGATCCACCCGCCTCGGCCTCCCAAAGTACTGGGATTACAGGCTTCAGCCACTGCGCCCGGCCTGAGACAGAGTCTTCTCTGTTCCCTAGGCTGGAGTTCAGTGGTGTGATCTCAGCTCACTACAAGCCCCACTCCCGTGTTCAAGCAATTCTCCTGCCTTAGCCTCCCAAGTAGCTGGGACAACAGGAGTGTGCCACCACGCCCAGCTAATATGTATGTATATATATATATATATATATATACACACACACACACATATATACATACATATATATGTATATATGTATATATATATATGTATGTATGTATATATGTATATATATGTATATATATATTTTTTGTATGTTTAGTAGAGACAGGGTTTCACCATGTTGGCCAGGATGGTCTCAATCTCTTGATCTCGTGATCTGTCCTCTTCAGCCTCCCAAAGTGCTGGGATTATAGGTATGAGCCACCATACCCAGCTGAGGCAAACTTTTTATAGGCTTGAGCACCACTTTGTTGTGTTAGGCCTAGAGACTTAGTAAATCATTATTATTCTTTTCCACAGTTTTGGGAACATAAAATCCTGGGTTTCTAATTACATTTGCACAACAAAAAATAAAGTATACTTTGCAAAAGAAAAAATAACAAGAAAAACAAACCCCAAACCACAAAAAGCAGGATAAACATTCTTAAATAATAATAAAATTTTTACTACAAGGTCTTCATTTTCTTTCACAGTATCTCCTAGCAAAATGTGTATTCTATTTGTACCTACATCCTCTACTGCAGGGACGGCTGTAGTTATGGGTGGTGTCTTAGTCCATTTCATATTTCTATATAGAATACCTGAGACAGGGTAATTTACAAAGAAAAGGTTTATATTTTATTTTATTTATTTATTTACTTGAGATAGAGTCTTGCTGTGTCACCCAGGCTGGAGTGCAGTGGCATGACCTTGGCTCTCTGCAACTTCCACCTTCCGGGTTCAAGCGATCCTCCTGCCTCAGCCACCTAAGTAGCTGGGACTATAGGCACACACCACCATGACTGGCTAATTTTTGTATTTTTGGTAGAGATGGGGTTTTACCATGCTGGTCAGGCTGGTCTCAAACTCCTGACTTCATGATCTGCCCATCTCAGCCTCCCAAAGTGTTGGGATTACAGGCATGAGCCACCACACCTGGTCAAAAGAGGTTTATTTAACTCACAATTCCGCAGGTTGGGAAGTTCAAAGATTGGGTGGCTGCATCAGGTGGCTTCTGGTGAGGGCCTCGTGCTGAGTTAAAATGAGGTGGACGTGGAATCAAATGCATGAAATAACTGTCAAAACATGAGAGGTAGCCTGTCTTTATAACAACTGGCTCTCTTCGGAATTAACCCACTCCAACAAGAACGAATACAGTTTTGTAAGAAAAATGTTAATTCATCTCAGTGACCTAATCACCTCTTAAAGGCGCCACCTCTCAACAAAGCCACACTGGGGAACAAGCTCCAACATGAGTTTTGGTGGGAACAAACTATTTTTAAACCATAGTAGGTGGTAAATGGAAAATTATCTAACAAATTGAGTAAATGACTCCCTGATAATTACCTTGAACATTATGGTTTCAGGAACTGAGGGAGAGTTATACTTCCCCATGATACCTAAATTTTATTAAGTATTTGATTAAGAGTTTAAAAGGCATTATCCTGAAATACGAGCCCATGTCTTTAGAAACGATAGAGAGGGATGAAAGGAAATGAGTAAAATTTAGTGCATCTCTCTTTTCTTTTAAGAGCAAGATTTTGTTTACAAGACCTTTGCATGAGCCAGGTTTAACTAATGGCAACAGTATTTGTTGTAGCTTTTATTATTTGTGAATGTCCTAAGGCTATAACTTAAAAGTATTTTAATACTACTAATATTGCTAAGCTTAACATGAGTTTTTCAATCATGAAAGAGAATTTTCTACTTGTTTGGTTCCTTATGATAAAATTATTCTTGGACTAAAATGTAAGCTGTACATTGAAAAATATTTAGTTATTTGATATTTCTGACCCACACAATGCAGGATCCACATCTAAAGAACAGAAATTTGGTGATGAGTCATATGGAAAATAAACTTGAGTGTTTTTCAGGGCAAAGGAATTTGGCGGTGACGATGTAAAAATAGGCAAACTTAACTGTGCCTCATCTTCAAGAAATATTTTTTCTTCCCTTTAATCTTCCACATATTATATAAACTAAATCTAAGAAAGGTTTGTTATTTTTAAAATAATTATATTTAACACAAGACACAACAAAGGCCAATCTGGAAAATTATTATTGAGACAGAGTCTTGCACTGTTGCCTTAGGCTGCAATGCAGTGGTGTGATCTCAGCTCATGGCAACCTCCACTCCTGGGCTTAAGGGATCCTCCCAAGTCAGCCTCCCAAGTAGCTGGGACTATACTACGCTTGACTGATTTTTGTGTTTTTGTAGACACGGGGTTTCTTTATGTTGCCCAGGCTGGTCTTGAACTTGTGGGCTCAAGCAATCCATCTGCCTCAGCATCCCAAAGTGCTGGGATTACAGGTGTGAGCTACCACAACCGGCCCACTATGTTTATTTCTACTGGTTCTCATTATAAAATTAGAAATTCTCCCTTCAAGTCCTTAACTGTGCAGTTGAAACTTTTATTGGAAGAGTTAAGAAGGGAGAAAAATCTGGGCCACAACAGACCTGATAGTACTTAGAAAATTGTAGTTTTGGGGCCGGGCGCAGTGGCTCACGCCTGTAATCCCAGAACTTTGGGAGGCCGAGGCAGGTGGATCACGAGGTCAAGAGATCGAGACCATCCTGGTCAACATGGTGAAACCCCATCTCTACTAAAAATACAAAAATTTGGCTGGGCGTGGTGGCACGTGCCTGTAATCCCAGCTACTCAGGAGGCTGAGACAGGAGAATTGCCTGAACCCAGGAGGCGGAGGTTGCAGTGAACCGACATCGAGCCATTGCACTCCAGCCTGGGTAATAAGAGCGAAACTCCGTCTCAAAAAAAAAAAAAAAATTGTAGTTTCCACTTACATCCTAAACTCATAATGTTTTTTTTCTCTGATAAGCTATTTTAACCCACAACTCAGTCTTCTTAGTCAGAGGAAATCCCTATTCCACTCACAAATGCTCCAGCTCATGCTTGGCTTTCTGACTGCACAGGTGCAATCTCGATGCAAATAGGCCTCCTTAATACTTTTTACTGTGCATTAGAACTGCCTGGAAGGCTTGCTAAAACACAGCTTGCTGAGGCCTCATTCTTGGAGCTCTTGATTCATTGGGTCTGGAGCAACACCTGAAAAGCAGCATTTCTAGCAAATTCTTAGATAAGATTCATGCTGCTATTCTGGACACTCCACTTGAGAACCAGTAGTGTGATGCCAAGAGATTGTAAGTAGAGAGTTAAGAAATCTTGTCTTCATTTGCTTTCATAACTTCCTGCCACTGAAACACTTATATATGACTTATCTGTGCCTGGTTTCCTCATTTGTAAAACAAAAGGAATTGAGCTGGTAAATCCTCACTCAGTACAGGCATTTTGCTCTTTACAGGTATTGTGTTTTGCACAAAATGAAGGTTTTTGGCAACCCTGTGTCTAGTAAGTCTACTGGCACCATTTTTTGAACAACATGTGTGCGCACTCTGTATCTGTGTAACATTTTGATAGTTCTTGCAATATTTCAAAATTTTCCTGATTATTATGTTTGTTATGCTGATCTGTGATTGGTAATCTTTGATGCTAATAATGATCGTTTTGGGGTGCCATGAGCCTCACCCATATAAGAAATCAGACTTAATTGATAAATATTATGTGCGTTCTGACTGCTCTACTCACTGGGAGTTCCTCCATCTTTCTTTTCCTCAGGACCCCCTATTCTCTGAAACATAAAAATATTTAAATTAAGCTGGCCGGGAGCGGTGGCTCATGCCTGTAACCCCAGCACTTTGGGAGGTTGAGGTGGGCGGATCATCTGAGGTCTGGGGTTCGAGACCAGCCTGACTACATGGAGAAACCCTGTCTCTACTAAAAATACAAAATTACCCGGCCATGGTGGTGGGCGCCTGTAATCACATCTACTCAGGAGGCTGAGGCAGGAGAATTTCTTGAACTCGGGAGGTGAAGGTTGTGGTGAGCTAAGTTTCACAAGAGTGAAACTCCATTTCAAAAAAAAAAAGAAAGAAAGAAAGAAATTAAGCCAGTTGGCCTGGCGTGGTGGCTTATGTCTGTAATCCCAGCACTTTGGAAGGCTGAGGTGGGCGGATCGACTGAGGTCAGGGGTTTGAGACCAGCCTGATCAACATGGTGAAACCCTGTCTCTACTAATAATACAAAATTAGCTGGGCATGGTGACACATGCCTGTAACCCCAGATACTCAGGAGGCTGAGGCAGGAGAATTGCTTGAACCTGGGAGGTGGAGGTTGCAGTGAGCCAAGATCCCATCATTGCACTTTGGCCTGGGCATCAAGAGTGAAACTGTCTCACAAAAAAAAAAAAAAAAAAAAGAAGAAGAGAAAAGAAATTAAGCCAGTTTACAACCCTACAATGGCCTCTAAGTGTTCAAGTGAAAGAAAGAGTCACATGTCTACCACTTTAAATCAAAAGCTAGAAATAATTAAGCTTAGTGAGGGGAAGGCATGTTGAAAGCTGAGATAGGCTAAAGTCTGGGCCTCTTGTGAAGAACAGTTAGTCAAGTTCTGAATGCAAAGGAAAAGTTCTTGAAGGGAGTTAAACGCACTTCTCCAGTGAACATACGAATAATAAGAAAGCAAAAGAGACATTGCTGAGATGAAGAAAGGTAGAGCGGTCTCGATAGAAGATAAAACCAGCCACAACACTCCCTTCAGCTAAAGCCTAATCCAGAGCAAGGCTCTTTTTATTCTATGAAGGCTGAGAGAGGTAAAGAAGCTGCAGAAAAAAAGTCTGAAGCTAACGGAGTTTGGTTCTTGAGGCTTGTGGAAAGACACATCTCCATGAGTTCAAGATGACGCAGCAAGTACCATATGAAAGCGATAGCAAGTTATCCAGAAGATCTAGCTGAGATCATTAATGAGCATGGCTACACTGAATGACAGATTTTCAATGTAGATGAAACAGCCTTCTTTTGGAGGAAGATGATGCCATCTGGGACTTTCACAGTTAGAAAGGAGAAGTTAACACCTGGCTTCAATGAACAGGCTGACTCTTGTTAGTGGCTAATGTAGCTGTTAACTTTAAGTTGAAGCCAATGCTCACTTACTATTCTGAAAATCCTAGGGCTCTTAAGAAGTATGCAATGTCTACTCTGCTCATGCTCTATAAATGGATCAATGAAGCCTGGTTGACCACACATTTGTTTATAGCATGATTTACTGAATATTTTAAGCTTCTTGTTGAGACTTCTCAGAAAATTTTTTTTTTCTTTTCAAAAGATTACTGCTCATTGACAAATTCACCTGGTCACTCAAGAACTCTGATGGGGAGGTATAGGTATGTGAATGTTGTTTTTATGCCTGCAAACATGACATTCATTCTGCAACCCATGAATCAAGGAATAATTTTAACTTTCAAGTCTTATTATTTAAGAAGCAAATTTTGTGAAGCTATAGGTGCTATAGATATTGTTTCCTTCTGGAAAGGATTCAGCATTCTAGATGTTGTTAAGAACATTTGTGGTTCATGGCAGGAGGTCCAAATATTGACATTAGCAGGAGTTTGGAAGAAATTGGTTTTAACCTTTATGGATGACTTTGAGGAGTTTGAAACTTCAGTGGAGAAAGCCACTGCAGATATGATGAAAATAGAACTATAATTAAAAATGCAGCCTAAAAATGTGACTGAATTACCATAATCTCATAATAAAATCCGAATGGACAAAGAATTTATTCTAGTAGATAAGCAAATAAACTGATTTTCTGAGATGGAAAATACTCCTGGTGAGGATGCGATGAACTTTGTTGATATGACAACCAAGGATTGAGAGTATTACATGAACTTAGTTGAGGAAGTAGCAGCAGCGGTTGAGAGGATTGACTCCAATTTTGAAAGGAATGCTACTGTGGGTAAGATACTATCAAACAGCATTGCATACTGCAGAGAAATCTTTCATGAAAGAAAGCAATCAAGTTGGCAAATTTCCTTGCTATCTTTTTTTAATTTTTATTTTTGAGACCCAGTAGCCAGATGTAGCTACTAATTACAAAAGACAGGATCTACATTGGCTACTGAGCCTTCCTTGCTGTCTGAATGTAAGAAATTGCCACAGTCACCCCAGCCGTTAGCAACTACCACCCTGATTAGTCAGCAGCCAACCACATTGAGGCCAGACCCTTCAACCAGCAAAGATTGCGACTCGCTGAAGGCTCAGGTGATCGTTAGCATTTTTTAGCAATAAAGTATTTTAAAGTTAAGATATATACATTATTTTTTAGACATAATGCTATTGTAGCTTTAATAGACTACAGTATAGTTTAAATATATTTTATATATGCTGTGAAATGAAAACATTTGTGTGACTTGCTCTAATGCAATATTCACTTTATTGTGATGGTCTGGAACTGAACCTGCAATACCTCTGAGGTATGCTTGTATTTATGGATGATTTTTCTTTCTATGTAATCTATGCCATCAATTCATGGCACCCTTCTAGGAGTAAAAAAGATTTATTCCAACAATCGTTTCAAATAGTGAACCTCTCCTTTGAGGGTATATCCCAGTCTCATCGAAGGTATTAGAGGGAGTAATTAGAAAAAGCATCTCACTTATTTCATGAAATAGAATGCCTTACAATCAATGTTTTAGATCAGAGCTTCCCAGTGGGATGCTTTTCTAAAAAAAAAAAAAAAAGGGTTTTCTTGGGTCTGGGGCTTCTTGGCAGTCCCTCTTTATAAGTGTCTTTTTACCCTAATATGCCATAAATCCATTGTGATTTTCTTTTCTTTTTTGTTTTTTCTGTTTTTTTTTTTTTTTGAGACGGAGTCTCACACTGTCACCCTGGCTGGAGTGCCCGTGGCGCCATCTCTGCTCACTGCAACCTCCACCTCCCAGATTCAAGCAATTCTCCTGCCTCAGCCTCCCAAGTAGCTGGGATTACAGGCAACCGCCACCACGCCTGGATAATTTTTTTTTTAATTTTTTATTTTTAGTAGAGATGGGGTTTCACTGTGTTGGCCAGGCTGGTCTTGTACTCCTGACCTCAGGATCCGCCCACCTTGGCCTCCCAAAGTATTGGGATTACAGGCGTGAGCCACCACGCCCAGCCCTTGTTCTGATATCTTTCATGTAAAATTTATTTAGGAATGAGGTCCGCTATAATAAAAAGACTGACTGTGGTATGCTAACTTAGTTTTTGAAATGTTAGCTGAAATACTGGCACCATTCTTCATTCATTTTACTTTGAAGGAGAAGTTTAGTACACTATGGAAGAGATGGTTTCATTTCTTTCTTGTTTTGTTTTGTTTTGTTGTTTTTTTTTTAGATGGCGTCTCACTCTTGTTGCCCAGGCTGGAGTGCAATGGCGCGATCTCGGCTCACCGCAAACTCCTCCTCCTGGGTTCAAGTGATTGTCCTGCCTCAGCCTCCCGAGTAGCTGGGATTACAGGCACCTGCCACCACGCCCAGCTAATTTTTTGTATTTTTAGTAGAGATGGGATTTCACTGTGTTGGTCAGGCTAGTTACAAACCCCTGACCTCAGGCGATCCACCCGCCTCAGCTTCCCAAAGTGCTGGGATTACAGGTGTGAGCCATGGCGCCTGGCTGGTTTCATTTCTTTGAATCTGCTTGAAAGAGTTTTCCCATCTAGCACTGCGTTTTTTGTGCGTGTATATCCATCAGCTACACACTGTGTACAGTACATAATAAAAAATGCAAGTCTGGTGATTGATTAAAAGGAAGCAGGGCTCCTGTATGTGTATGCACATGTACAGTGGCTGGAGTTGGGGAATGGAGAATAGAAAAGAATGGTGCTGAGGTTTTTGGGGTGGACTTTAAAATTTTCTGAAGACATGGAAAATGCTACCAGCTGGATCTGTCTCTTCACTGGAAATCCCATAGGATTCTGGATATATTGTACTGTCTCCTCAGGGACTAGAACAGTGCTTGGAACAAGAGGGATGCTTAGAACACGTCTTCAAATAGCTTCATAAAGGCTCGGCAAAGATCATTAGGTTCTAACCTACTGTCTGGGAATGTGTATTATTTACATTTCATATAAGAGAAGCCACAACATGGGAAATGGTATGGAACAGAATGAACATTTTACTTTACAAAATAAGCAGACTTATTCTACCAGTTCTGCTTTCTCTTCAACTCATTTCAACTTATTTTCTAGATGATCTAATTCCAGTTTGTTTTTAGAAAAACGGTCTTCTGTTATCTTGACAACTAATTAGTCTTGAAATGTATGTCACCCCACCTTTTTATATAGTAAATTTAAAGAGACTTTTTGTTTGCTAAAGTGTATGTTGTGTATGTATTACTTATGAAATAGTTTTAACTGACTCAGAAGCTTCTCACAGAGCTGTTCACAACTACCAATGACATTGTCTGCCATGAAAAACTTAAAGCTCTGTAGCATTTCATAAAACCAAATATCTACAGCGAACTGATCTTTTTGACAAAGCTGACAAAAACATACACTCACAAAAGGATACGCTTTTCAAAAAATGGTGCTTGGAAAATTGAATCGCCATATGCAGAAGAATGAAACTGGACCCCTATCTCTCACTGTCTACAAAAATCAACTCAAGAGGGATCAAAGACTCTAAAGTGACACCTGGAACTATAAAAATCTAGGGACAATCTTCTGGACATTGGTCTAGGCAAAGAATTCATGACGAAGACCTCAAAACTTAGGCAATAAAAACAAAAATAGATGAATGAGACTTACTTCACTGAAAAGCTTCTGCACAGCAAAAGAAATAATCAACAGAGTGAGCAGACAATCTGCAGAATGGAACAAAATATTTGCAAACTATGAAAATGAAAGGAGACTGATATTCAGAATATACAAGAAACTCAACAAGAAAAACACATATCATCCCATTACAAAGTGAGCAAAGGACATGAATATAAATTTTTCAAAGAAGACATACAAATGACCAAGAAGCACATGAAAAATGCTGAGCATCATTAATCATCAGAGAAAATAAAACCACAATGAGATAAGAATGGCTATAATAAAAAAGTAAAAAAATAACAGATGTTGGTGAGGATGCAGAGAATAGGGAATGCTTGTGCTTTGTTTGTGGTATAGTAAAAATTAGTACAGACCCTATGGAAAACAGTATGGAGATTTCTCAAAAAACTAAAATTAGACCTACCATAAAACCTAGCAATGCCACTACTGAAATGCCCAGAGGAAAATAAATCATTACATAAAAAGATACCTGCCCCGGTATGTTGTAGTAGCATTATTCACAACAACAAAGAAATGGAATCAGCCTATGTACCCATCAACAGTTGAGTGGTTAAAGCAAATATTATGTATATATATATACACACACATATATATATATACATACACACATATTTTTATATATAACTAAATGTGATATATATATATATACATATATATATATATATATATACACACACACACACAATGGAATACTATTCAGCTGTAAAAAAAGAATAAAATCATATCTTTTGCAGCAACACGGATGGAACTGGAGGTCATTATCTTAAGTGACGCAACTCAGAAACAGAAAGTCAAATACATATTTTCACTTATAAGTGGGAGTAAAATAATATATGGACATAGAATGTAGTATAATAGTCATTGGAGAGTTGGAAAAGCAGGAGGGGATAAGAAAAGAGAAATTACTTAATGGGTACAATGTACACTATTTGGGTGATGGTTATGCTAAAAATCCAGACTTCACCATTATGCAATATATCCGTGTAACAAAACTTCCCTTGTACCATTTAAATTTACACACACACACACACACACACACACACACACACGCACAGAGAGAGAGAGCTTTGTAAGATTTTATATTGGAACAGAAAGGGTTTTCACACACTATGAACAAAATTAATTGATAAAAACCTATGTATTTGTGGTAGTAACTAAAATAAACAGTGTAATGCATAGAATATCAAACTGATGTTTACCTTTAATTAATGATTTTTAGCAGGGAAAAAGCAGGTTACAACATTGTGGTTAGTCCTTGCAAAAGATAGACAAAATCTAGAGTGGATTTGAGGCTACCCTAGCTTCCATTCAGAAAAAGAAAAAAATCACTTTCCTGGAACTTGGTCTGCTTTTTACTTCTCCAAACTTCACTTCTCAGTTTATATTACTCATTACTGGTAATTCTGTGTTTGACTCTGGTTGGGCATGCTTTTGAAATGGCCAACCGTGTATTATTTTTATTAACATTGCTTCAGGCTTTAAAAAAGCCTGAGGACCACTGTTGGTTGACAGGAGAATCTTCCAGATGTACACTCCAACAGATAATGGAATTCCATTTTTTAATAGCCACATCTGCTTAAGATGAGCCAGTCTTCCTATCAAGACACATAAGTATCAATTAATATTTTGCACATTTCTATACTTCTTGGTTTTCTTAATATTTCTACTATTATTCTCTTGAATATTAAAAACAAGTGTGCTGTGACATAACGCCTTGCTGAGGCATACCACCACAATCAACACCATCATCCCCAAAAGCTTCGCTTGTCATCTTATAGTACTTCATCTAATTCTTGTCTATTTTATCTTTCAGTAGGATTTCCAGCTCCTAGAAGCCAGAGATCATGTTACTCATTCTTTTGCATCCTTCCCAGGGTCTAGTGGAGCACTGAGCATCATGTGAGTAGTCTATAAACAATTGTTGAGTCTTGTTGAATTGAACTTAAAATGTCCACATTCCTGGTGCTAATCAAAGAAGTAATGAAAAATTCCCCTGCTCTCTGCAGTCTGACTATTTCCAGAAGTAATTATTATCAGACTAACATTACAGGGAAGGAAAAGCAAAGATCAATGCAAAGTAGTACAAAGAAACGTTAAAAGAAAAACAATTTGCCTTTAACCCAGTCCTGTCTGAGCTGCAGAAAGGGGATATTTGGTGAATGTTTGGTAAATGTTACAACACCCGTGGTCTCTTGTGATTGTCACATGTACCAGAAGCATAGAGCAGACAGATTTCTAAATGTATATATATTTATTTAAAGTTTGAAGTTCTAATAAAAAGTTCTGTGTTTATTTCATACCATTTCTTTGATGTTTTAGTAAGCTGGTATGTGAAAGTAATTTTCCACATCTATGACTAATTTCTAAATATTGATTCAGTGCTTTAGACATTGGATTTTACTATGCAATCTCCTCCCTCTTGTAAAGCTTGTGAGTGTCATGTGCAGGAAGAAAGGCAGGGAGAACAGTATCTTCTGTGCACTTAATCAGTATCACATGGGCTTCCTTGATCTAGTGGGCTTGGGTTCCCTATTTTAAAACTGCCCTCTTATTTTTCTAGACGATGCATTTACTAGTTTCTAGTTTTTAAAATCCTCTCGTTAATTTCTTGTTTTTATAGTTAAATTATTAAATCTTTCACTTTATACTTTCTTGTGTCTTTCCCAGTGTCTAGCAGAGTCATAAGCAACTTGTTTATATTCAATATACAATTGTTAAATCATGTTGACTTGAATTTAAAATTGAAAAGGAATTTTAAAATGTGAAAGTTTTGCACAGGATCTATTGAATAATATTATAAAATGGTTAAATGGTTAAGCAAAATAGCAATTTTACCCAAACTGGGCTGGGCATTACATATATATATATATATGCACATATATATTTGTGTGTGTGTGTATATATATATATGTATACACACACACACACACACACACACACACACACACACACAGCCAGGCCTTGGCTATTTCCTGTAACATTTGTCTTATATATGTTATCTAAAGATGTCTCTGGAAAAACACCAAGAACATTTTTAAAAGTGTTTGAAATTTTTTGTTGTGTAAGAACAAAAAATTTAGGTAGTACTGTCTGGAATCTATTTTTTTTCTGTTACTTTAGCTTTTTAAAAAACATTTTATGTTTATTTTAAGTTCTGGGGTTCATGTGCAGGATGTGAGGTTTGTTACACAGATAAACATGTGCCGTGGTGGTTTGCTGCATCTATCAACTCACAATCTAGGCATTAAGCCCAGCTTGCATTAGCTATTTTTCTAATGCTCCCTCTCCCCTCACCCCATCTCCCAATAGGCCCCAGTGTGTGTTGTTCCCCTCCCTTTGTCCATGTGTTCTCATTGTTTGGCTCCTACTTGTAAGTGAGAATGTGCAGTGTTTGGTTTTTTGTTCCTGCATCAGTTTGGTAAGGATAATGGCTTCCAGCTCTATCTGTATCCCGCAAAGAACATGATCTCATTCTTTTTATGGCTATATAGTATTCCATGGTGTATATGTACCACATTTTCTTTATCCAGTCTCTCAATGATGGACATTTGGGTTGATTCCATGTCTTGGCTGTTGTGAATAATGCTAACTTACCTTTTGAAAAAGTAAGCTCAATTTTCAAATGTATGTGAACATTACATGATATGTCATATGTATCTATCCCAGAGATAACCTTTCTACAGAATTGGCAGAATTGGTCTAGTAACATAATATCTCGACAACACCCCACTTTCATTTTAAGGGATAAACTGTAATAATGAATTCTCAGTCCTTATGAGAGAGATCTCATGCAGATGATGGTATTTTGAATGAACACAAGTGTATACAAAAGACCAATAAGGAATAAATAAAATTATACTCATATGAAAGCTGCTTTTATCTAAATTAAAACAATTGGATTATAAAATAAAGATGGTGGTGTTAGTTTTCTAATGGTAAATGTTCCCTTTAGTAATATCATTGACTCTTGCTCAATAAAATAAAAATTTGAAACTAGTCTTTGTTTTTTCTTTATATGTAAATATCTCTTATAATTCACCTAATAGGTTACCATTGTCATTGGCAAAGCTAAAACATTTTATAAAACAGTTATTGTACTAGAACTTTGGTATTATTTAGCAAAATAGCAGGGAGCAGGAAGATTTTGCTGTGTTCACCAATCTGATTAGTTGCCTTTTTTTTTTCCCCCTATATATAGCAGGACTGAAAGCAGTGTTTCCCAAAGCATGATCTGAGGATAGTCTGGGAAGTTTATAAATTATACAGATTCCTAGGCATACACAGCCCTACCTAATCAGAACCTCTGGGAACAGGGCATGGAAATCTACTGTTTCCTCCTCTTGAATTTTAATAAGCATCCTAACTGATTTTAGCCACTAAATAAGAAATCTCTGCCCATAGACTCACATTTAAAAATATACAACTCATCTTTGGATAAAGCATTTTTCATTTTAATATTCCTCTCCACTCAGCATACTTCTGTGTTATTTCTTACTTTCTCTTCCTTTTCTTGCCCCTCTTGCTAAGTTTCATAAAATCTTAGAACCATGTATCACTGGAATTTTTTGGTTATAAGCAATGGAACCTAATTCTGGTTAAGCTAAAGCAAAGACTATTATAGTTTATGGGATAGATTATAGATTTTTAAAACAACCACAAAGAACCAGTGTTAGGAAAAGACAAAAACTAGAGTCATTTCAGGTATGTTAAGAGTAGGAAGGACTAACCATACTCAGTGCCTGTGTTACTTTATTTAGATTTCAAATGGCATTTAAAAAGCATCAGCTTTGACTCCCTGGTCATGTGTCAATATTCTGGTCAATATTTTGACCAGGAAGTAAAACTAAGGGAATATTGCCTTCCTGATCAGTATTCTGGCCAGCAAGTAAAACTAAGGGAAAATCTCTAGAACTATATCCATGCAGTTATCCAAAGCAAAATAGCAGTACAAGGCTGGGGGCAGTAGCTCCTGCCTTTAATCCCAGCACTTTGGGAGGCCGAGGCAGGTGGATCATCTGAGGTCGGGCGTTCGAGACCAGCGTGACCAACATGGAGAAACTCGTCTCTACTAAAAACACAAAATTAGCTGGGTATGGTGGCACATGCCTGTAATCCTAGCTACTTGGGAGGCTGAGGCAGGAGAATCACTTAAATCTGCAAGGCAGAGGTTGCGGTGAGCCAAAATAAAATAAAACAAAATAAAGATAAAAATAGCTGTACAGTTTTGAGAAGAATGGATGATTTCCGTGCAGTCAAAAGGAAGTTCACCACCATGCAGAAAACTTCAGAACCATTGGGGGGAAAAGTACTTATTTTATTCAGAAGTCAACTAATTCCTGAGAGTTAGTCAAGAAGTATTTATTGCACACCTAGTATACTGAAGCAGGTGCTATATTAGGTGTTAGGGTAATAATAGTGGAATTACTAGAAGTCAGGGCAACAAATTAAGGCAAACAGCAGGGGAGCTAGTTTAGATAGTACCTCTGTAAACCAGGACTAAGAAGGAAGAGCTTGTTAAAATAAACAGAAAGACTGAATAAGGATACTTTTTTTGTTTACTTGGACTATTGTTTTCATTAACTGAGGACTATGTGGTAAACATTGCTTTTGCCTGCTATGTGTTCTTATGGGCCTTGCCTTAAATAGATATGAGGGCTTACAATTTGGTAGTAGTTTAATTAAATAATCATTGAATTAATCAAATTATGTGATTATAAGATTTTCTCTATCTTAAGTAGTTGAACAGTCTTTCTGAAATTATATTATGTCATATTATATTACATTACTTTATGTTATTTACTTAAACAGACCCTATTATTTCAACCAACTTTTTGAACACCTAATATGTGCTAGCTACTGGGGATAAAGATATTTCCAGCAACGAGGGAGCTCATATTTATTCTCAGGGAGTGTCTTTCTTCAGAGATAATGAAAAGGCAAACTTTAACCTGGTTTTATATTAACTTAGCTCAAGTTTCTTTAGCCTGGTTTTATATTAACTTAGCTCAAGTTTTATGTTATGCCCCTTTAAATGTCTTTGTCTTCACACAGGTCATCCTTTTGCCAGGAATGCTCTATCCCTCAATTTATCCACCTAATGGGTACTAACTTATTCTTCATATTTAAGATCAAAAGACTCTGGTGATAGTTTTCTCTAGTTTCTGGAAACATAAGAGTCTCCCTGAGGCATTTCATGCCAATATTTCCAGTGTGTCATTGCTTACCTGCCTTCTTCCTTATTTGACTCTTAACAACTTTTCTTCTTCATCTTCTAGAAGCCCAGACCCTCTTTAACACATGGCTCCAGCCGCCATTTCTATACTGGAGAATACTCAAGAGATATGTTTCCAGATTAGAGTTGTTTGACAAGTTCGGGTTGTGTGAGCCTGTTCTTGTGTTGCTATAAAGAACTACCTGATACTGGGTAATTTATAAAGAAAAGAGGTTTAATTGGTTCACAGTTCTGCAGGGGTTACAGGTATGACATCAGCATCTGCTCAGCTATTGGTGAGGCCTCAGGAAGCTTACAATCATGATAGAAAGTGAAGGGGAGCTAGCGTGTCACACAGCAAGAGAGGGAGCAAGACAGAGAAGGCAAAGTTCTCAGCCTCTTTTCAACAACCAGATCTGACATGAACTAACAAAGAACTCACTCATCACCAAGGGGATGGTGCTAAGCCATTCGTTAGGAATCCACCCCCATGATCCAACACCTTCCACTAGGCTCCACCTCCAACACTAGGGATCACATTTCAACATAAGATTTGGTGGGAGCACACATCTAAACCATATCATTGGACTTGTACAGCAGGCTACACAATCAGAATTTCCAATCTTATCTCATTGATCTTTCCCTTGAAACCTGTTTCCTCATCTTGAATTCTCAATCTGACTGAACA